CTGTCAGGAGCGTGCTGATGTGCAGATTCTGATGGACCTTTCCGAACCTCGACTCTCCCAGTAACATCGTAATGTCCCAAAATCGTAGCTCTAGCCCCTGGCGGATTCGATTTACCTAAAATCGACCCAGCTGGGTCGAATCTAAGTCGAATCTAAGTCGAATTTAGGTAATTATCAAAAAAAAGCTTTAAATTGATGAAAATTTATAAAAATTAGTATTGTGAGGTTAAATGAACATTCATAGAGTTAATTTTTGTAAGAATTTTAATTATTAACGTGATAAATAATAAATAATTACTTGATATGTGCAAGTGGTAACTGTAGATTTTAACTCGTTGTCAGTTTTCATAATATTTTCAGAAATTAGTGTAAAATGTGTGAAAAAATAATTTATATTTAATAGAAATTGCAAATTTTATTAAATTATTTTATTATTTAACAATCACATTTCATAATAATTGCAATTTAATTAAAAAATAACAGTTTTCTTAAAAGTGACAAGAACTCTATTATACCGACCACACACGGAACAGCGGAACGCGCGCCAAGATTTGAAAAGAGTTACAAATTTTAAACATTCATTAAATAGAAAATATGCAATTTTTTTCTTTATTTATAAAAAAAACTTTAGAATTTTGTTAAAATAATAAAAATTAAGCTGATATATTTTTCTTAAATTTTTACTTATAACTTTTTAAAAAATTAAAAAAATAAAAGATCAAAAAATTTAGTTAAATTTGTATTTTGCCATCATAATTTTTTAACAAAAATATAATTTTTTAGACATAAAAATAAGAAAAATTTACATTAAAACTTATTTAACAATTACATTTTTTTAACAAAATTCTTTTTTTTTTTTTTAAAAAAAGTTGCAGATTTTTTATTTCATATTCACAATTCTTTAATGAAATTGTTTTTTAATACAAGTTATAAAAAAATTAAACATTTATTTATACTAATGCTAATAATCACTAATTTTAAGTAATAGGATAGCTGGAAATTTGTGCTCCCTGCATGCTGCTGCCATCTAACGGCGTCTGCAACTAATATAGGGCGATAGTTAAAAGTAAAGAAATAGTGATTATTAGTATTAATATAAGTAAATTGGTATAAATAAATGATTAATTCGGCATTTCTGAGAAAATTTGTATAAAATGATTATCTTTTATGGTTAATCAAATATATTTAATTAATGAAATTAAGATAATAATGAAATAGTTGTAATTAACAATTTGAATTTTCCCGCCAGAAGATCATGTGCATTCATATTCGCGCACTTTTACCGTGTGTGGTCGGTATAATAGAGTTCTTGTCACTTTTAAGAAAACTGTTATTTTTTAATTAAATTGCAATTATTATGAAATGTGATTGTTAAATAATAAAATAATTTAATAAAATTTGCAATTTCTATTAAATATAAATTATTTTTTCACACATTTTACACTAATTTCTGAAAATATTATGAAAACTGACAACGATCCCTGGCGGATTCGATTTGCGTAATGTCTACTTAACTAAGCGGACTTTAGGTAGACATTAGGTAGACATGTAAAAAAACGTATAATAAAGCTATTAATCGACTTATTATGATAAAAAAAGTTGATAAAAGGGTAAATGAATGTTTATAGAGTAAATTCGTACAAAATTTGTAATTAATAGAGCAATAAATAATTAATAATGAATGGAAATGTGCGCGAGGTACCTGATCAGTTCAGCTGTACAATTATTTTCGTGCTATTTTCATGAAAAGAATATAAATTAACTGCAAAAACAATTGATATTTATAAAAAAGTGTAAAATTGATTTAATTTTATTGTTTGCAATACGAATTATTAAATAATAATTAAGTTTTTATCAAATGTGAATAGTGTTGTGAAAACCTGTGAAAACTAATGAGTTACTACATTACCGATCGCATATGAGAGATGGCGCCACCAGTTTTTACAATACAGTGCGAGCTTGTTTTCTTCCAAGCTTTTGCTTTGAAAGAAAATAAAAAGTGAATTTTAAAATGCAGAATAAAGTTATACAAATAATTATTGATTTCATAATTGTTTCTCGTCCAAAATTACGGACATGATTGCAGCTTTTTTGTTACACTCATCGAGAACTTTTTATTATCATAAGCGATCGGTAATGTAGTAACTCATTAGTTTTCACAGGTTTTCACAACACTATTCACATTTGATAAAAACTTAATTATTATTTAATAATTCGTATTGCAAACACTCAAATTAAATCAATTTTACACTTTTTTATAAATATCAATTGTTTTTGCCGTTAATTTATATTCTTTTCATGAAAATAGCACGAAAATAATTGTACAGCTGAACTGATCAGGTATCTCGCGCACATTTCCATTCATTATTAATTATTTATTGCTTTATTAATTACAAATTTTGTACGAATTTACTCTATAAACATTCATTTACCCTTTTATCAACTTTTTTTTATCATAATAAGTCGATTAATAGCTTTTTTATACGTTTTTTTACATGTCTACCTAATGTCTACCTAAAGTCCGCTTAGTTAAGTAGACATTACGCAAATCGAATCCGCCAGGGCATGTCTACCTAAAGTCCGCTTAGTTAAGTAGACATTACGCAAATCGAATCCGTCAGGGATACCAATTAAAAAAATATAAATCCGCTTTATGATGAGTTAATCAAAAATAAATTTACGTCCAATCTATCGATTTGCAAATTAATAATAATAATAATAATCAAAATTTTGTAATTTTGTGAAAAATTGTTGTAATTCGGAGAAAGTAAAAGTGTGGTTTTTGATGACGTGCATTACTTTGTTTATTTATTAAATTAAACAGAAAGATATACAATATTTCAATTCAATTTATTTGGTATTAAAAATAGATATACACCTAATAAAATTTAAACCATAGGGTGTGTCAAATGTAATTGAAATGATTGAATAAAGTAATATTAATATTAATAATAATATAAATTTAAGAAAATGTCTAGCGGGTGGTCGAAGTAATAATTTTTTTTATTTCTTTGGAATATGTAAATATATTAATCAATAATAACACGAGAATATGATTGTAAATAATATTAACAATAATAATAATAATAACAACAATTCAGGTTTAATAAAATTATTGAGGGAGAATTTACTGTTTAAAAAAGTGTACATTATATTAATATATGAACCCTAATGGATTAGCGATATTCTAATAGTTAACCCAGCTGGGTTAAAATTCCGTTTCTTTGTCAAATATTTATTGAATGAACAAGATGTAATGAAGAAAAAGTATTTTAGAAGATAAATTAAGGTTAGAAGAGTCAATTAATATAGAAAATTTAATAATTAATGCAGTAAATAATTAATAACTAATATTAATTTTGTAATAATAAATACCTATCAATTTGTCATTCTATGACATTTCGAAATATCTTGATAAATTGATAAAGAATTTAATTTTCATTTAAAAAGAATTATGAAATTTATTAAATTCTATTAATTGTACCCCTAAATTAATAATGATTTAATTGAACGGTCTTTAAAATTCTTTGCCAAAGAGATACCTTTTTAATTATTGACCTATAAAAACGGTACTGAACGTGAAAATAATAAACATTGTGATTTTAAAATACTTTCTTCTCGAAACACAGACACTTTTTAAAAATAAAAGTCGGCCAACCTACCAAGGATCTTTATCTTATAAATTTCCTAAATCCGAAAAATTGTGCGAATGCATGCAAAAACACAATTGCAAAATGAAAAGTTGGAAAGTAATAAACTGCGACTTTGTGCTCTGCTTCTGCCATCTGACGGCGACAGAACGTAATGAACCTGTCTTTATATTCCTTTCCAACTTTTCATTTTGTAATCGCGTTTTTGCATGAGTTCGTACAATCTTTTGGATTTAGAAATTTTTAAGATAAGGATCCTTATTGTTTTGGCTTTTGGTTTTTGTTATCATTTTAATTTCTATAATAAAACAGCTGCTCCAAATTCATTTTAGAAAATTTATGTTACCTGGAAATAAAGTTTTTGACACTTTGATAAACGAAATTCGTGAGGTTGACGTTTTATCGTGATTGGACAAACGATAACAACAGTAGGGGTAAATGGATAGTCGAAAAAGTAAAAGAAACAGTCATTGCATTATTATTATATGTTAATTGTTACAAGAAAGGTAAAATGATTTAACCATATTAACATTATTAAGATATTAAAAAGCTTTAAATTAATTTATTATAGAATTTTACAAAAATGTTTACCACAAAATTTTAGGGACACTACACATGATGATATGACTGTTAATGTTCACAAAATATGTATATATAACTAACAAAATATAATAAATAATATACGGCTAAATTAGCAATAAAAATTATTTTAAGTAAGAAAAATTAATTAACAATGTAAACTATTTTTAATGTTCACTAAATATAAAATATGTAACAAACATAAACGTTGTATGAATGAGTGACAATGAATTAATCAATTTAAACAACAGAAGAGAATTACATTAAGACATTTTGGAATTATATTATTCATCGGTATCTAGTAGAGTAAGCCGAAGAGCAAGTCATTTTGTGCAGAGAAAAAAAAGAAAATTATACCATCTCTTCTCGATTTATTCTAAACTTTATCAAAATAGAAAAAGCTTTAATAAAATTTTTGCAAATAATCTGTCGGTTCGTACTTACCGTATTAATTAAAGTCAAAAAGTAGGTTTTTCAATTTTCTTAAACTTTCAGATAAGAATTATATTTACCTTTAGGTATATATTTAATTAAGTTGTGAACAGTATCTTATAATTAAATGATCTCGTAAACTGAGAAAGTTATAAAAAACCTTTAATCCAACTTAAATTATATTAATTTTAAATAATTATGAATGTATAAAATTAACCAATTGTAATTCATCAACTATTGTAAGAATATAACAATAAGTACAAATATAACCGAGCGAGAAATATAAATCGCTTGTAATTAGTAATACAATGAACAAAGGGCATAATAAATGTAATATACTTATATATTGTAAATTGTATTTAATTATTTTTGGAAAAATTCATTTCTGTTGTTTAGCAAGATTTTGCATTTAAATTCATAATGCATTACACAATGTTAAATAATTAAATATGTATTTTTTTAATAAATTTGTGTAAAACTATTTAATTTATATTATACTTTTCTTTTTTTCTTAATAAGTGCTTTTCGCTTCTTTTCCATAGATTCCATTCGTATATCTTCTAAATCTTCCATTATACCTGAAACAGTAATAATAAATTAATATAACAAATTAAACATTTAATCAGGTTTGACACAAAAAATATTATTTTGTTTTTCCCTATAACTTTCCCTGACTATTTGATTTCCAGTCAAAATTAAAATTTTCCTTCTGACTCTATTTTCCCGAGGTTTTCAAAAACAGGCCTCGGATTGCATGACTTTTTCGACATTTTTTATTATTTAAAATTGATCTATTAAAAAAAATATATTAATTTAAATTGTTTGCAAAATCAATTATTTTCAATAAATTGAAACAAATTCTTCGAAAATTACATGATTTAAAACAGTTTTCAATTAAAAATTCACTGAAATTCAATTATTGTCTAAAGTTTTTTTAAAAAACATTTCATCAATTCAAAATTAAAGTTTCAATTAATAGTTTCCTAAAATTCATTTATTATTTCTAAAAATTTCAACCGGAACTCTTCTAAAATACAGTTGTTTATAAATTTTGTATTTAAACTTCTTTGTCGAATAATTTGATTTTAATAATTTTAATCTAGATTTCCGAAAATTTAATTATTTAAAACGTTTTCCATTTGAAAATTCTCCAAAGTTTATAATTATTGTTTGAAGCTTAAAAAATATCTACAGAAATTTCAATTTACAAAAATTTTAATTTAAAATCTCCTGAAATTTAATTAGTTCCAAAAATTTCAACAATTGCTCTTCCAAAACTCAATTACTTCTCAAATTTTTAACTTCAATTTCTTTTTGAATTCATTATTTCTAATAACTTTAATCAAGTTTTTCATAAATTCAATTACATAAAACATTTTTAAAGAGGAGACACCACCTTAAATTTTGCCCCACTTAAATTTAAATTATTAAACGAGGTTATATTTTTTTTGCATCATTCGGATCTTAAAAACATACAGAATAGTAAAAAAAAAATTTTAATTTTTGATCATTTTAGAAATTAAAGTCTTAAAAAAATTATTATTTTAAATATCAGCCTTCATTCACAATTTTTCATCGACAATATTTTTCCACATTTTTTTAATGATTCTTCAGAATCCCTCGCATGGATTTTCAAAAATATTAATTTTTTCATAAAATAAAAATTCTAAAAGGTCAAAATTTAAAAGTTTCTTTTTTGACCACCTTATATGTTTTTAGGATCCAAATGATGCATGAAAAAAAATATAACCTCGTTTAATAATTTGAATTTAAGTGGGTCAAAATAAAGGTGGTGACTCCCCTTAATTATTAATTCTTTAAAATTAAATTTTTATTTATATAATTTTTAAAAAATGTCAGTAATTCAAGTTTATTAAAATTTTAATTGAAAAATTCAAAAATCGAAAATCCAATTTTTTAAAACATTTTTCATTTTAAAATTCTCCATAATTTAATTATTTCTAAAAATTTTTATTTAAAATTCTTCGCTAAATTAATTTTTTTAATTACTTTAATACAGTTTTTTAACAATTCGGAGAAATAAAAAATTTTTTAATTAAAATTACACTAAAATTTTATTATTCTTTAAAGCTTATTAAAAAAAATTTATCAATTTAAATTTATGAAAGTTTCAATTTAAAATCTTTTGAAATTTAATTAATTCCAAAAAAATTTAACTTGAACTCTTCCAAATTCAATTAGTAATTGAATAATTAATTAAATGTTAGTTCAATTAGAAATTTTTTTCCCAAAACCTTTTCTATATAATTCTTTGCTAAACTAATTATTTCAACAGTTTTTATCCAATTTTTCAAAAATTTAATTATTTAAATTGTTTTTTAATTAATGTTTATATTTAAAACAAAATTATAATTTTTGAAATCTCAGAACATGCAATTATTTCTCAAAATCTTAACCGGTAACTCCATCAAAATTCAATTATTTCTAAAAAAATTTTAAATCAAACTCTTCCGAATTCAATTATTTTTAAAATTTTAATTAAAAATCTTCTGAAATTCAATTAAGTCACAAACTTTTATTTTAAACTAATTTTTTTCAATAATATTGTAATGAAATTCTTCAAAAATTAAATGACTTAAAACATTTTCCGAAATTTTGAATTCGAATAATGTGCATAAATCAGACTTGAAAAATCTTCTTTTTTTTCAGTGTAATTTTAAATTATTTTTCAAAATTTATTCTGAAACTAAATTGAAATCTTGAAAATTTGTTTCAGTTTGATTGGGTGATTTAAAAAGAAAATTTTTTGAAAATATTTCTATGAAACATTATTATTAAGGAATTAATAAATTTTATTTAATTTCTAATAAATTGTTAAAAATAATAAAATTTTTATCAACTAATTAAATTTATTGAAAATAAAAAAATGCACTTTTTAGACTTTTCTTGTAATGTAAATCGATTAAAATGACTTTTTTTCTTTCAAAAGTCGATCCGAGGTCTACAATTATAAAAATGTAAGACAATAATTTTTAGAAGCAAAAGTTTGAATTGAAAATTTCAAAAATTATTATTTTAGTAGCATTTTTATAAATTTGATATTTTTCCAGTACTTTTCATAAAATTCCCAGACTTTTACCTAATTTTCCTGACCAATCTCACTTTCTCTGACTTTTACATAATTTCCCTGACCCGTGGTAACCCTGTTAATATACATTCAATTGTTTTTAATATTTGATATAAAAAAAAAATTATATCAATTATTAATAATAATAATCGTGAATATCTTTCGTTCATTCTGTCCACACCTGAAGTTAGTATTTGTTATAGGTCTTATGTTTTTTTTAAATGTGTTGTTTGACATTATTTTGTGTTGTTTAAAATTTTTCAATGTTTTGACATTGTCATTTGTGCGGTCGTATTTTAATTATTAAAAATTATAAAATTGTTAGAATCGTGCAAAAAAATTGTGAGGATTGTGAGAAAAAATTGATTCGATTGCTGTTAGAGTAAGCTGCATAAGTTGATAATTTTATCAAATTTCAAAAATTTATTTAATTACATCACAATAATTTAATTAATTTTAAAAATAATAAAAAAAATTTTATATTATTTATTTATTTATATTATATTTATTATTTATATTATATAATACAAATTAAATTTTTTTTTTATTTTCACAAAATATTTATTTATTTTTGTTATTATAATTAAAAAAATTTATATTATATATATATATATATATATATATATATATATATATTTATTTATATTATATATAAATATAAATTTTTAATTTTGACTAAATATTAATTTTTTTTAATAATTTTTATTTTTAAATATTAACTTAATATAAAAATTTTTAAAATAATTTTTATTTAAAATAAAATTTAAATTATTATATTTTATATATATTTATATATGTTACATTAATTAATTAATTAGGAATATTGAATAATATATGGGGCATTCTATTTTAAAATTATACCCCTAGTAAAAATTGACAATATAAGACATTTTTTAAATAATTATTTCTTCCATTTAATTAAATCAAATTACTTTTGCAATGAGTGGTTTCGAAAGAAAAATTTCTAAACTTTACAATTGTAAAAAAATTTTTTCAAAAAAACATTTAAATAGTATAAAAAATTTAGTTTGAAGGTTAAACTTGTAAATATCTCAAAACACGTTGTCTCCGATTTTGACAAAATCTATGTCAAAAGAAAGCTTAAATATTCTATTTTTTATTTCCGTAAAGTTTATAATGGACATTTTCGAGAATTTTCAGAAATTAATTAAAATTCTCAGACGTTTCGGAGGTTAAAAAGAATTGAAATTTGTATGAATGGAGAACCATTTCTTTAAGAGCGGATTTTGTTTTTTAAATTTAATTTCCATTAACCTTACACTATTACATCACTTGACATTAGAGAAAAAAAATATTGTAAACAATAAATATATTGATCTTTAGCTATTTGCAATTAAAAATTTTTCAAATTTAAAAAAATTATTAAGATTAAAATTGAAGTTTTAAAATTTATTTATTTAAAAATTTCGTAAAAACAAATGCCGCTGTATTTGAACAGTCGTTCTCTATTCATGCAAATTTCAATCCTTTTTAACCTCCGAAACGTCTGAGAATTTTAATTAATTTCTGGAAATTCTTGAAAATGTCCATTATAAACTTTACGGAAATAAAAAATAGAATATTTAAGCTTTCTTTTGACATAGATTTTGTCAAAATCGGAGACAACGTGTTTTGAGATATTTACAAGTTTAACCTTCAAACTAAATTTTTTATACTATTTAAATGTTTTTTTGAAAAAATTTTTTTACAATTGTAAAGTTTAGAAATTTTTCTTTCGAAACCACTCATTGCAAAAGTAATTTGATTTAATTAAATGGAAGAAATAATTATTTAAAAAATGTCTTATATTGTCAATTTTTACTAGGGGTATAATTTTAAAATAGAATGCCCCATATATTAAATATTAAATTTAAATAATTTATAAATTATTTATTAATAATAATAATTATTATTTATTATTATATAATAATAAAAAATAAAAAATTTCATTTAATAACAAATATTTTTATTATTTTTTGGTTATAATTTTTTTTTGCAAAATATTTTTTTTTATTATAGGCAATTGAAAATTTATATATTTCATATAATAGATTAATAATAATAATTATTATTTATTATTATATAATAAAAATTAAAAAATTTTATTTAATGATAAATATTTTGATGATAAGAAATTTTTACAAGACCTTTACCGATATATGTTTTATTAAAAATTATCAATTTAAATTTTAAATCGAAAATTTTCTTGAATAATTTCTGAAAAATTATCGACAGATAATCAAAAAAAAATCAAGAAATATTTTTTTCTATTTGATAAAAATTAAGGAATTATTATTAACAATGTAATAATATTATAATCAATTAAAAATATTATTGATAATATTAATTTTAATTTCTTTATAATAAACAATTAAATTCCTAATTTCGCGCGTTTAATTTTGCTAGTATCAATTAATTTTGAATAACAGATTATATTCTGTTAATTGAATTTTCTGTTAAATGAATTACATATTTCAATTTTTTTTTGTTATTATTATTTTTTTTTTGATAAAGAATAAAAAAAACTTACCAATTTTAGTTGAAACATATTCTTCTTTCAACTGCTGAGCAAAATTACTTTCCATTGCTAAATCATCATCTTCTTCATCATAGTAATTTTTGTATTTATTTTTATCATAACCAAAAATTTCACTTATATATTTACTGTAATCCTCATTTCCAGTGTCTTCCTCTCCATTATCAATAAAATCATCTAATTCGGAATCGTATTCATCATCATCATCATTAAATATTGCTCTACCTAAAAAAACCAAATAATTTTTCTTTATTATTAAACGAACAAAATTTTATCGCTATTTATTTAAAGAATGATAGAAATAAAAAAATTTACGATATAATATATTATAAATTCAACTTACCATTAGTATATTTCTTATTTTTCATTACAATTTTACTGTTCTTTGACATTTTCAAATTCTTGTCTGAATATGGTTTCGACGGTTTAGAATTTAAAGACCTTTCTGTATTTTGTTTTGTACTATTTATTCTTCCCAAATCACGAACACTTGAATTTCCAATTTTATTGGGAACTTTATTTGTTGAAACATTTGTATTTGTTTTCTCTTCATTATTCTTTTTTTTAATTACATTTAATTTACGTTTCTCTTCTTCAATACTCCGTCGCATTTCTTCTAATTTTTTACGTTCTATTTCCAATTTTCTGCGTTCATCTGAAATATCATCTTTATGTTTACTTTTTTGATGAGTACTTTTCAAATTTGTGGCATTTCTATCAGATGAAGAAATTACAGGTTTCTTAGGTATAACAATTTTTTCAGCAGATATTTTTTTTGTTTTTTGAGATTCTTGTGATTTAGAATCCGAATGTTTATCCGGTTTATTGCTTTCGACAGTTAATCTATTACTAGAAACATTATTTTCCAATGTACGATTTCTTTCTTCTCTAGCATCACGACTTTCTTTTTCTCTTGCATATTCTTTCATTTGTTTCTTTGTCATTAATCTTTCAGGTTCTTCTGGTTTTGGTTTTACTTCAATAACTATTGGTTCATGTTGCTTTTGTGCAGCAAGTTTCAAAAGTTGTCCAAAATCCATTGCAGGAGGTAATGGTCTATTCTTAGGTTTTGGCTTATCACTTTTGTTAGTGTTATCTGAAGTTTTTTTTTCATCCGATGTAACAATTTTTGTGTCTTCTTCAGAATTTTTTGTAGTTGATTTTCTTTTTCTTCTATGTCCTTGAGATTCATCAATTTCCTGTTGTTTTAAGGCTTGTTTTACTCTGTCCTATAAAGAAAATGAATTTTAAAATTAAAAAAAGGAACGTACCAATTACGGCGCGTTCATAAAAAATAACTGTTATTACTATTATATTTAATGTAACGGTTGCAAAATAATAAAAAAAATTATTTTAATCTTTTTTTGATACAATTACTAATAAAGATGCACATTTAAATAATTATTAATTTAATTATTTGAAATCAAATTTCTTTCCTCGACGTAATTGAAACATTTTTAAGATTACCATTGGCTTCAATTACGGCGGGCAAAGTATCTTAAAAATACAAGTAATTTTGGTCACCGTAATTGATACACCGAAACTGATACAAACGCGCCGTAATAGAAAGTTAAGGTATTAGTTTTAATTTCTCATATTTGTTTAAATAATCGATTTTTATAGAGTTAAATTTTTTTTTAATATCTAAATAACATAAGCTTTTAGTTTAATAAGTCTTAAATTGACTTCATACAATAGAAATTTCGAATTTTCTATTTCAAAGGTATTTTGACTCGAATCGCGCCGTAATTAGTACATTTACCCTAATTTGTTGAAAAAAATTATACGAAAATCTTTTGATTTAACCAAGGTGTCTAACAACTGCTAGGAAAAAAATTCCCTGACTTTTCCCTAACCTAAATTACACTAAAAATTTTTTATTTTCATCAAATAAAATTTATTTTGATACAATTAAATCATTTACCTGACTATTATCCACTAATTTCATATGTATTTGAACCAAATAAATGTTTCGTAAAGAATAAAATATTTAAGTGAAATAAATAAACTAATTGGGGTATTAGCATTAAATAATAAATTATTCGTATTAATGAATAATTTACTTTATTTGTAGTTGAACCGATAAAATAAAATTCTATCAAATAATTTTTATTTATATTAAAAAATCAAATTTTTCACTGAAAAAATCATTTATTAGATTCAATTAATAGTAGTAAATAATTATTTTCTTAATGAATATAAGATATGGGCATATCTCTAGAACCTTTAACTTTAATGTCCCTCGCATATATTTTGGTAATTTTAATAAATTTTTCGTTGGTTTTTGTTGGAAATATTAATGCTTGATACAATCAATCATTTCCAAAAGATTCCACTTTAATTTATTAAATACATAAATAATTATTTCAATTTTAATACGCGATTTTTAACAATGTCTACTTGTCCTTAACCATACTTTCTGATGCTTTAAACGATATAGTTTTAGATTTAATAAAAATTACTAATTCTGAAATATGGTTTTTCAATGTTAATTAATCGGTGAACACATTTTCGCAGGGAAATTAATATTTTATTAATTGTGAAAAAATTTATAAGCTTTTAAAAGTTGTCCCTCACTTTTAACCTTTTCGACCGTAATCATCGTATTTATGATTTTTCTTTTATAAGACAAGCGGCACGTTAAAATAACTTATGGGAAATCAAAGATCAAGTTACTATAATTATTTTGAGACATAATAAATTGATGTGCTTCATGTCTTCAAAAAACTATTATAAGTCAAATAAACGAAAACACGCGTGGACAAAATTTGAAAACAACCGTAATACGAGTGATACTTCATGAAAATCATATAAAAGTATTCGAAAAGTACTTGTATATATTTTCACATGTGCCATTTAACATCCCGTGAATGTGCTTCGAGAAAAAATACTTTATTGCAAAGATAATGTAAAAATATTCATCAATTACGGTCGACCGTAATCGACCGAAATTTTTTAGAAAGAAATTGTTATGTACGAAGTTGCCGATTATAATTTTTTTTATAGAAACTGTCATTAATTATTAAAACCTGAAGGTTAAGTTTTAATGTTTATTTCGAGACACAAAAATGGATCCAAAAAAATTCATTCTGAAAAAAGATAAGATGCGAGAGAAAAGAAAAAGAGATAAGAAATTGAAAAGTTTACGAATATTAAATTTAAATAGAAAAAAGTCTATGAAAATCGTATGGTAAATTTTAAAAATTACAATTTTACATTTTTAAAACAATTCACTATAATAAAAATCTATTTTAAAATGTAATGTAAATATTCAAATAAAAAATGTATATATCTAGTTAATTTTTGACACATGCTTTTATACCCAGTGCATTATTTCAGTATTTTATTATTCATATAAATATTGAAAATATTAAACGAATTTTATTGCTTTTTAAAATTATAACCCCTTAGAAAATTCCCTTCAACTGTTTTTTATCCTAAAAAGCAAACACCTGTTGAATATTTTTTTGTTACAGGTTAAAAATAATTCTCAATTTTAAATATTTATAACTTTTTGAAGACAACTTGTTTTATCTGTCCACTTGTATAATTGGAAAGCTTAGTTCTTGAAGTTTATGTAGACAGAGTTTCAATACTGTGCTCAAAAAAAAAAAAATTTTTTCTTATTGAAAAGTTAAAGGTTTCAAAGATATGCCCATATATCACATGCTTAATAATTGAGTGTGAAGGCCAACTTTTTAATTTGCATTTGCTTTGGGAAAAAAGTAAAAAAAATGTTTGAAACTAATAGATACTTTAATTTATGCTTAAAAAATTCCAGAAAATTAAAGAAATTCCCTGACTTCCCTGATCGTGCGACACCCTGAGTTATTAACATATTTACAATATAAATTTATACCTTTGTTGATGCAATATCCTTTACTGTTTTCTTTCCCGCAGGTGCAAAAATAGATTTCTCTTCTGGTTGAGTACTGTATTTATTCATCAATTTATTATAAAAAGCTGATGCTTCCTGTGATACATAACCATAATCATCCTCGTCGGGTTGAGATGGACCTAAATCACAATTTAAGCTAACATAAGAATAAACGAAATAAGATGTTTGAAAATTAAGTGTTCCGGGCACGGCTGTCTTGAAGCTAGGAAATTCTAAGCAAAAATGACGAGTAAAACTGAACCGAGGAATGTGTTCGGGGTGACGTAAATATCACAAATCCGTTTGATTTGAAATCCTAGCTGATCGTTTAAGCGAGATATCGCAAATTTTCACAATTTTCGATAAATAAAGGATGATTTTAATATACTATTTGAATTATTTTACATGAAATGTGAACTATTAAATGCATAATTTAATAATAAGGTTATAACTTATTTTACATGTTTTATCAACAACGAAAAATACAAATTTAATTGAAATATTTAAATCTGTTGAGAAGAAAACTCAACAACTGCTCTCATCAATCTTTCCGCATACGTTGCAAACGATCCCTCGGCGTCTACCATAGAATTTACATTATATTTATTCCATGTTTTCAAACAAGCATGATGAACACTTTCGCCCGCCTGCTCGGACCAAATTCCCAAGCCATCAGACCTTCCTAAAAACTGCAGGCATTGAGCAAGATGATCTAGAAGTACATGTATCTTGAGAGTTTCGGTCATTTCGGTAGCCTCATAAGCTTTTTTTACGTTGCTTATTTCAGAACTTAATACATGGTAGTTAACTTTTTTTGTCGACAAACAATTGTTAACTAATTTGTCAAAAGCTTTTAAGGCAGATACAAAAGGTACAAGTGTGTATTGGTTGTGACCTTCATAAATTTGCGGATCTAATAGTTTATCTGCTTCGGACAAAAGTTTTTTACAACCATTTCCTTCAAATACTTCACCATGGTAAGCCTTCGAGATGATACCAAGTTTCCTGGGCCACACAAGAGCCTTTTCACGACCAACAACACGCACTATTCCATCCCAAAACAAGTGATTCACAAATCCTTGAAGAATGTGTAATTCCGGGACAATACACTTCTCCAGTACACAGAGATCATCAGATTCTTGAAATAACGATGCATTTATTGTGCTATGATAATTTAGAGCAAGTATTTTGTTTTTTCCTGCGTCACAAAATGCTTGAAAGTCATTTTTCAATTGTCCAAATGTTTTTAGTTCTCGTGACTCTAAATGTGAATAATCTATTTTTTTCTTTGAAGTTAAAGTTTTCTTTTCGTCCTCACTTGAATTTCTCAAAGTACGCAGACATACGCAACAATATGGACATGGAAACATTGAAGTTGCGGTTTGTTGACCATTTACCAACAAGATGAGCTTGAAGTCAGCAACGAATTTGAACGGGATATTATTTAATTTAGTCAGCTCAAACAACGATTCCAAGTTTCCATATGTCTCCTTAATTTTTGGAACTAAGCACAAAATTATTAAACGATTAACACTGGTCAGTTTTGCCTTTTCTCCACTTACTGCGGCTTCACAATAGCGTCTTCGTTTTGTGACAGGATAATCGGGTTCAACATTTTCGTCCGCTTCATCATCGACATCAATTTCTTTTTCGGTATTGTAATTGTGTGGAAATAAAGTTAAGCAAATTTTAAAGAAACCCTGTCCACCATCTGCAAGAACTTTAATATGATAATCTCCAATTAAATTCCGATGTTCAATAATTCTAGACACTATCTTTTCGGCATCAGCATACACAACGGGCCTTTTTTCTTTGATACCCTTTACACCTTCTACGTCAAAGTCCCTCAGTTCGTAGTGGTATAAATCCGACAATAGTTTAGAGTTCAGCGATAGATGCTCCGCTAACTTTGAAGGTACTGAATGTTTACCAGCAATACACCTTACAAAATTAGCCATCTTTTTCATAAAACTTTCTGACGATCCGGTATTAACTTGAAAATTGCTGAATTCTTCATTTGAGACTTTAATTACTTTATTTACAGGGTGAAGTGCAATTTTCATAGCAGATCCTGATACATTTGTCAGCTCAATATTAATATTTTTTTTATTTTTATCATTTTTGCTGGTTCGATCTTTTAACAAACTACATAAAATGCGATCTTGTTGTCTTTCGGGCAGGTGCTTTACAATATCAACCACATTTTCACAAACAAGATTACTATTCAGCCCTAGAACGGAAAGAAATAGGTGCGTGACATTTCCTTAAAAAAATTAGTTACAATAGAATATTTTCATGTAAATAAATTTCATTAAATATTGTCGTTTGACCTATTCTGGATCTGTACTTACGTGTATTTCCCTGTTGAAGGGCAGTTTTGGCAGAACAGGAGTGTTTTAAACCTCGACCAATTTCTTGCCAACAAATTTTGCACCTCGTTGTTAAATTAACAGATTTTGTGGTTTCATTCAAAGTTTTTCCAGATTGTTCACAGTTTGAAGAAACGTTATTTTGGGTTGATAAAACAATAAGATTTTCAAATTTTCTTTTGTTACCAGCCCCTTTTCTTGGTTTAACGTGACCTTTGTTTATTTTATTTTATTTATAAAATTAGATCAATTTTTAATTTATTTATATTTCAATTTATTTTATATAATACCTTTATACCGGGCCTTTGTACAAATGAAATCACAACAGGTTAGGTTATCAGTTTGTCGAGTATTCTTTGGTAATTGTATATCTAAATAATTCGGCATTACTGGTACTGGTCTCTTAAAGTCACCCTTTTCGTAATCATCAAGTGATAAACGGCAAGAAACGCAAATACTTAAAGGAAACTTGGAATTATGTAGATCAAATTTTTCATTTAAAAACTTTTTGATCAAATCTACATATTTTTCAGTTATAGAAAACCACTCTAACTTTTTTTCTTTGAGAACAATTTTTTCTCCACAAGGGGCGCAAATTTTTCGGCGGTTTTTTTCGTGGGTTGTTGATACATCATTTTCAGACATTTTTGTGTCATTTATATTTAACCAACTCACCAATCAAGTCAAATGTAAAATGTCAAACCAATAATAAAACTGAAGTTGCATTTCTTTAAAAAAACGAAAATAAAAATCTTCCTTTATTTATCGAAAATTATGAAAATTTGCAATATCTCGCTTAAACGATCAGCTACGATTTCAAATCAAACGGATTTGTGATATTTACGCCACCCCGAACACATTCCCCGTTTCAGTTTTACTCGTCATTTTTGCTTGTAATTTCCTAGCTTCAAGACAGCCGTGCGGGATCTCCAGTGTACTTTTAGATACCTGAAAACGCGGACCAGAGTCTCTTTTGTCACTAAATAAAAAAAAATTTCCTGTTCATAAAGAAGTGAAAAAGAAAATTCTCATTACTTCGTGTCTTCAGATATTTAAACATTTAGTATTCTACATATTATAAAATATCATCTTATATATTAAAATTTACATAACTAGAAATTATCTCTGTAATATCTAATTTTAAACCTTAACCCATTAAGGCCCATAGGTTACGCAGCGTTCACTGTAAAAAAGTTAGTGTTATTTTACAACGTCCGACGCGACGTGGGAAATTTTGTGCACATGTTAAATGCGTGGATTTACTTGTAGCGTTTTACGGGAATTTACATGCAGCGTGTAATCTAACACAACTTGTATATTTTTCAACATTTTCAAATATAACCATCGGCAAATCATTACTTGAATTACGCACTGCATGTTTATTCTATGTGGCTATGTAATTAAGGTTTTTCAAGTGGTTTTTCTGATTTTCTTTGAGACGGAATAATTTGTTATTTAGAGAAAATATAATAAAATGAGAATAAATGATCAAAGTTAGAATTATAAAATTATTCCTCACCCAGCGCGACCCGGTTCAGAGTTGCTGGGGCTCTATTTGACAATAAAAATAAAATAAGTTAACTTGCACGCGGACGCCAGTTAATTTATTAATTAAAATTAACAAAAGACTTAAATCACAGGGAGGGAAGTTGGTGAACCCAAATACAAAATATAAAAATAAAATATTAAGCGACTTCCAGGAATATAAAATTTATTATGAAAGATCAAATCAAATATACATTAATCACTTTCTTGAAGATCAGTAATGATCAAATATCGACTCTTTTCCAATAATGAGATCGACAATAATTTCCAATATCTTTCTTTTATACAATATCAGATCTATAATTTGATTAATAAAATGTTGAGCGAATAATATAATGAAATAGTATTTTACGCCAAGGGCAATACTTCACACACATACAATATGACGTACGGACAAAGAGTGAGGAACGGACCCGACGATTTTCGGCAATGAGCCAATATATTGAACTATTGGCGCTTAGATCGATGTAAGGTCACAGGGCCGAGCTAATGACCTTTTTTCCTTACCCTTATCCTAAGATATTTGATCATTTATTTCTCAAAATAATGTCAACAAATATTTTCCCGTCACATTCTCCCCCTTCGGACTTGACGTTAGTTTGAGAAAGAAAACTGAATCTGAAATAACTTGATCCATCTGTAAATAATATCATAATTAAACTATATATTATCAAAATAAAACAAATAAAATAATAAATAAAAGTGATTAATGTCTGAAAAGAAATAAGCAGTTGTCATGTTTGATTCTAAATTTATTTTTTTTTAAAAAAAGAACAATTCCTAGAAGTTTCCTAATAATTGTTTGTGAATTTTAAGTTTTCTTTATTTATTGAAAAGAACTTACGTCGTAAAATAAAATTAAGGTAACAAAAATAAAGCTTTCCTTTTAAGAAAGGTACAACCAAGTAATACTATTTTTGTTTTTGGTTCAGATCAATAAGTCATATATGTAGATTAATATATAAGATCAAAGTTATTTAAAACAAAATATGTTACTCTCATTCCGAGATCAGTCTTTCATAAGTCAACAAATCTATATGCCTAATTTTTGGAGTTCTTCTTATATTTAATTGGCACGATGACCTTGTACTCCTCTCCGTCCGACAATTCAGGTCGAAGAGCCATTACTTCGTCAAGAGACTGATTCGAAAATTCGTTTGTCAGTGATTGAACCGCTTGGCGACGTTTTTCCTCCGACAGATCTTTGGTTGAAGGTGCCATGTTAT